TCCAGCCAAAGAGTTTTACTTTTAAGCTGATGTCCTTTAATTCATTTACACTTGCTAGCATCATTCCTGTGGCAGCAGCGTAAGGTAAGGTAAAGCGACTTTCTTTCGCCAGTTCTTTTCAGTTAAGATTTTGGAGACTCGTGTTTACACTTAGTATTGCAGACTTAAAAATCCTGAATTCTTTAAATAAATGAAATGTCAATCATGAAATGTCAATCATGTAGTAATTTAATTCTAGATTCTTGCAAGAAGTGAGGCAGTTTTCATATTCACCAAGTACAAAATGAACAGCCGCCATTTGATGTTGTTAATTCTGCAGATATGCAGTGGTTTCAAATAACCTACAAACAATCTTGCTTTTAGCAAAAGGAAAAATTATGATCTTTATCTATGGCCAACCTCACCAAAATGGATCTTATCAAGGTTGCATGCATCAGATCCAATCAATCATCCTTGTTAATTTCTCACAAACTATATCATTATTTTTCTACATTTAAAATCATTAATTGCCCAGTATGTTTCCTTGGTAGGCTAACACACTTCTCATGTCTATATTTACCCTTTTTTCTCACAGGAAACTGCAGTATGTACACTAATAAGTGATCATGAATTTAAGTTGCATTGTATAATGAAGCCGTATTCTTACACAGAAGTGGACAGATTGTGAGCTTTTGCATCGTTCTTATTCAAAAACGAATCTAAACAAACAAAAGAATTATACGTTTTGCCAAAGTATTGGTTTGAAACCACTGATCATCGAACTCTTTGTCTTTCCAGAACAATGAGTAGGCCTACCATAAGAAGTCCAGAGCATCCGGCAGACGCTTGTCTTCCCTCCTCCACGGGCGAGAGCTCGACAAGCGAAGATGAACCTGGAAGTTTAAGCAGGCTTCTGCCACTCACCGGCTCATCCGTACTGGCACGACGACTGTTCCACCTCCAGTCATATCGCAACCCACTTGTACCGAGTAGACGACGTAAGCGCGAGATGACCCCTGCTGAGAAAAAAGATGCATCGTATTGGGTCAAGCGGCAGAAGAATAACGAGGCTGCCAAGCGTTCCCGTGAGAAGCGACGACTCAACGACTTCGTGCTGGAGGGACAGCTTCTGGCGCTGAGCGAGGAGAACGCCCAACTCAGGGCCGAGGTGCTGAGTCTGCAGTATCACATGGGAATTGGGCGAGGTCTAGACGTCAATCATCCCATGATTCCATTCCACTATCCTGTTGCGTCCCATCTCAAGCCGTCCCTGTGGGGTTTGGCTAGCGGGACTGCTGCTCTTTCAGCAGACGGTCCAGAACTCTACCACTCTTGGCCACGGCATAACTCATCTCAATTCATCTCGCCCTTGAGGGTGCCTCCTAAAAGTGCCCAGCCACCATCACAGGTTAGCTACTTAGACAACAATGCTGACCCAGTTGAGTCGGACCCAGCATCTCACCCACAGGTCTCTTCCAGCAACGACCCACCAACCCACCCACAACTGTTTCCAGCTAAGAGAACACCTGCACCCTCAACGCCCCCTCCTCAGTTGCTGCCTGGGTTGAGCCACTCCGCCACCCAGCACAACAACCAGGTGTTACCTTGGGGCTCGTCCTCTTTGCCTCCATCTCCCCTTCATCCCAACTGGCCGTTGTCCTTTCCTCTGTCGCTACGAGACCCAGACGGATCTCGCAATGGAGGAAGGTCCCTCTGGAACTTCAACAGCAGGTACAGCATGCTGTCCGCTGAGATATCAGGACAGCTCAGGAGAATATTTTGCCCGGAGAACTCTTAATCAGCAATAGCGCTTTCTGAACAGTATTTTTATTGTGAAAATAAACTGCTTAAAGGGACCGTTCACCCAAAAATTAATATTCTGCCAACATTTACTCATCCTCATGTCATTCCAAACCTGTATAGCTCTCTTTCATCTGTAGGACAGAAATATTTTGAAAATGGTCTCAGTGTTCAAATGTTGTTGTTTTTTTTTGGACCCCATTGACTTTCATTGTATAGAAAAAGTCCTTCAAATATTTTCTTTTGTGTCCCTCAGAAGAAAGAAAGGCATACAGGTTGAGAATGACATGGGTGAACTATCCCTTTAAGGCATTAGCTGTGCTTAATGTAGTGATGCGCAAGCCAACTCCTTACGGCCTGGCAAACGATAGATAAAACATAAACTTGAAATGTTTATTCTGCTAATATGTGGATTGCAATTAAAAGTAATTAATCCTCTTACCCTCATCTCGCTTATTTGCTTATTGCATATAAATCTGATTCATGTTTGGGAATCTACACACAGCCACATCATTGATTGTTTGATAGAAATTATTATTAGTGTTCACCTTCACTCTTAAAATGTTTTGGTGTGAAGTTCGGGGGACCACTTTTGGTTCCCCAAAGTACCACTCAGTTATCAGTTCTTAAAAGAACCATGTTTTTCTTAGTGTTCAGAACATTTTAATAATCTAAAGTATCTTTGTTCAATATAAAGAACCCTTCGTGGGATGGAACGGTTCCTCGATGCAAATAAAGAACCTTTATTTTTAAGAGTGTTGCTTGCGTGAAATACTGGTTCCAGCTGATTACGACATTGAAAGCAACCTTTCACTGAAGCCGTTATGCATTAGTGATGTTTCACGTAAGGGAAAAACAAAAGAATGAGAAAAAAATTACGTGGCTGCCGAAACAAACAGTAACAGCAAAACTAAAAATGGTTTCATTTGCTGCTGGTCACTGAACTCCAACTGCTTTATATTAATTTGTACATGGAATGTGTAATGAGAACAGTTATGCTAGTCGTCGTGTAGTTAGGTTTCTTGAATTTATTCTCTAATAATAAATATGGGGTATAAATTAAATTATTAAAGTGATCATGATTAAATATGATACATGGTCACAATAAAGATGGTTTCAGACTGGGGTAAATTTGTCTGATATCTGATTGAACTTATAGGCTAGTAAAACCGCATGTTCACACTTCTGGTGTGTGGATGTACATGTACTCAAGTGTGTGAAGTAGAATAAAGACTAATTTAAAGGTGTAAATAGACCAGTTCAACTCAACAGTACAATAGACTATTTTATTTAAAGTACTTTTGGTGTATCTTATCTTATTTTCCTTGCCTGTGGTGTGAAAGTATTTTTTTAGAATGGAACTGACTTCAACATTTTTAATATATTGAACACTTGTTAGACTGTAAAAACTGTAAATTATTGAGGTACCATTTGGGGTTACTCAGATCAACACATTGGCCGAAAGCAAGCATAATTTTTAATGTGCCTCTATATCCTACGGTGTAATCAAGGAACTTCAATAGGATATAATTGCCTAAAACACATAAATTCACCCAAAAATGCAAATTTTGTCATCATTTACTCACTCTCACATTGTTCCAAACCTGTATGAGTTTCTTTCTGTTGAACACAAAAGATATTTTGAAGAATGTTGGTAGGCTCAAAACAGTTCACAGCACCCATTGACCATATATTTATTTATTTTTTCCCTATGGAAGTCAATGGCTACTTTCAACTGTTTGGTTACTGACATTCTTCAAAATATCTTCTTATGTGTTCGGCATTAGACAGAAACTCATACATGTTTGGAAGAACTTGAGGGTGAGTAAGTAGGCTAATGACAAAATTACATTTTCTGGGTGAACTATCCCTTTAAATTAACGTATGGGTTTCAGCAATTGTTATTTCTTGCGAACAGGCCTTTTTGAAATGATGCCTATAGATGTGTCTGTGACGATATGAGGAAATTGTGCTTTAGGCCTACTTAAAAATCAGAACCAGTAACCGAGGAATCGTGTCGCGTATGTAAGTTAACAGAGAACAGTCAAACATGTTAGCATTAAAATAACTAGCATTAAAAAGCATCGCAACTGTCTTATTAACACTGAGGTGCAATTAATATAGGCCTAAGTTACAAAGAAAACAGAAAACTTCACGTAATTTCACTATACCATTCATCAGGATCACGTTAGATAAACGCAGTTAACAAAATAAAACAACAAAAATTCTCACACAAACACAGTAAACACGACCGTCGATGTGTAGCCTAACTGTCTGTGCGTAGCGTCGGTAAAAAAAAAAGAATAATGTTCCTAAAGCCTACACTCACTCATAAATAATTTATTTATAATAAGTGTAGGCCTATATAATATTTCATAAAGATTAAGCTTCATAGAAAATTGTATTTTTCTAGCTGCGTTAGGCCTATTTACAACTGCACGTTCTAATTAGATAATTAGATACGTACCTTCTATAACAAGTCACATGAATGATATGTGAACAGCTATTAAGATAACCAGTAGGGGGCGCGCTGTCCTTGACAATAGGCCTACACATGAATTGCACACTAGCCACCAGTCTTCTGTGGTGGTCATCTGACAACAGCTATTGTGTTATGTTCTTCTAATTATTAGAAAAAGAAGTTGTTGTTGTGTGTGGTAACATCACAAACATAGAGCAAAACAGACTTTTCAAAACAACATAGTTATTTATCTAAAAGGAGGAATTAGCAATATTGCGACAAAGTAATCCTCCAGTATTCTCATCCAACATTAACAACAATATTAAATTAATATGCATTATTTTTTCAATGATTCTTAAATTCCTTGAAAAACAATGCATATTATTTTACTATTATTGTTAATGTTGGAGGAGAATATGGTGGTTGCAGCCTTGGGAATGAGAATAAGTGCCTTATTTTGAAGGTGGACGAGTATTTTAGGCCTTTCCAAAACAGTACAGACTTCTGCAATTCCTTAATCTTCAATTTAGAGCCTTCATATCTTTAGTTAATGACTGAAGAGGAAGTTGAACAGCAAGGACCTGGTCAAGAGTGAGAGAAGACAAGTATCTGGCCATCAGAAAAGCTAACTGGAAGAATAATTAAGAGTGGTTTTCCATAGCTGACCCTTTTTCTTTTCATAAATACAGACACCCACCCACTGGTGCACGTATGTGAGGGACATGTGGGCCATGGTGTAAACCCATCAGCTTTGTGTTAAAAGAGTAGACACAGACAGGGGCTTGTGGGCTGATCTCATAAAGCAGCGAACAGGCAGCCTCTAACTTTTAATCACACTTCACACCAAAGAGAAGCCACGAGTCAGAGAGGAGAGCGTTTAATCAACACTGCACAGCAGGTGAGACACTCAGGTCACACACAGACGAGACAAGGGTTTGATGTGCGGAGAGTCGACTGGTTCCAGTAATGAGGAGCATCCTCAGTGATGTCAACGCTGGGTGAGCCTTCGGGAACTGTCAGAAGCTGTGTGAAGGTAAGAAACGGGGGCTTTTGTCTGTCCATCAGTGGTCAACTTTGAACATACTTATGACAGTGTAATGTAATGACCAAAAAAAAAAAAAGTCAACGTCCTTTGACTTACAACAGAATCTGAGGTGTCACCATCAAGCAAAACAAAAAAACATGGCGTTGGCCTTACTTCTACAAACATCTCGCTATCTTAAAAGCTTTTTTGCATTAAAATAATGCAATTAAAAGGAGAACTACAAGATAAGACGCATTAGATACGCAGACTTTAGTAGTTTGAGATGAAAATGCTTCATGTCGCTTGAAAGCCGTAGATGATGAGCAAAACTATACGTAACAAACTCATTTCAGATGAACCTTTGGTTTACTTCCAAGCATCAGATTTCCCAATCTCAGAATGAAAAGAGTATATTATATAAATCAGTACACAAATTAAGCTGTCCAACATTTGGTTAATGTGGTGAATTTAACCTTTTGAATGTCTTAGTATTGTAGAATTTTTAACCCTTTAAATAGTGTTGAATATTCATATTATAATATCTCATGTTACATTAAATAATTAATGCAACCATATTTGGCCGCAATGTCATACAAAAGTGTATGGATTTGAGTTTTTTATTTGTAAATGTAAATTTCTTTGTAGACCTTCCAAATATTGAGTTTCAGTCTTTAAAAGCTTCAAAAGTGAGTGATGGATCTTGTGAGGCTGGTAAATGTGGGTCATTTTGAAAGAGTGTGTGGTGTGGCATCTTGATCATTTTATCTAAACGATTTCAAGGGAAGATTAGAAAAGACAATTGCAATAATGGTATCTCTGATGTAACTGCAGCTTGAATGATGTACCTTTCTCTATCGGTGGAAACAATGCGAAAGATATTTGATTGCAATTCCAATTAAAATTATAATGGGGTGCAAAAGTCCCCAGTGCACTTTTTATGACAAAATTTGAATACAAAATATTTCATTGCAAATTATATTACCAGCGTAACGATGCATGAGCTCCAGTATTATGTTTAAAACGTTATGATCATGTTCTCCAGCATGATTTGAGATCATCTTGAGCTTCAATGGAAACTTCTGACCATCCGTACAAAGGAGTTTCTCGTGATCAATCCCACAAATGTACTTATATGAATAGAAATAATGTAGCATCATACATATTTATTATTCATTTTATGTCAAAATGACATTTTGAAATCCAAAAACTTTTACAGGTTTAAATTTGATTTTGAACCCCAGATTTTCAACACAGAATTGACTGATACGAAATAAAATTGATAACACTTTAATAAATTAGCAGCACTGAACATCTGCAATGCAACAATACACTTTCAAGGGGGGAAAAAAATATTTAAAATCTTTTTACAGCCAGACGTTATTGTTTATGAAGACTTCCGTGCCGCTCATTTAAAAACAACTGAGGGGGGGGGGTGAACATAAAGCATAAGAAACCATAGTCCAGGAAACAAAGATGTACAGAGAAGCAGGTGGTGAGGGTAAAAAGCAACAGATAGGTTGCCAAAAAGGAGAAGTTTAAGAGTTTGTTGCTGAAAAGCACCATCTAAACTTAGCGCCAGGTGCAGAAATGTGGCCTGAGGCCCCTGGGGGCCTCAAGGCCACTAAGTCATCGAAAGCTGTATTTTATGCCTATTAAACAAATACTACTGGCTACAAAAATGACATTGAACAGTTATTTCACTGAAAAAAACAAAAAATTCACCAAATTAAATTAGGGGATAGAAAAACAGGGTGATGATTTAATTGTGAACGCTGCACGTTTCAAAGTAAAAACTTGACGCTGTTGCTCGTTGCAGTTCATAATTAAGGAATACCGATTCATTACGCAAAGCAATTGCTTATGATCTACTGTTAATGAATTATGACAATGTTTACATTATGGTGTTTACATCATACCAGCAGACTCGTTGCATAAACGCCACCTACTGTCAGAGAATGACATTGCGTTTTCATTTTGTCGGTGAATCGAAAAAAGAGGCTAATGTGCATTCTATAAATCTATACACTTAGGATAATAAGATAATCACATTTTTAAAGAATAAGATAAACATATTTTTTAAATGAATATAAATATAACAGCCTAATTTATGGTTTGACTCTTCCCTTTACTTGGTTTAAAGGCTGACATGTGAGGTTTATCATTTTATAAAACCTTTTGTTTTTGTCAAACCTTGCATTATATAAACTTGACTTGTACAGCTTGTATTGCTTTACCCGCCCATATGGTATTCATTTTATTGTTATACTTTATTTTAAGATGACGTGGTTAAATTGCACTTGCGCAAATAAGTACTGAGTATTATTAATAAACTACATGTACATACGAGAGTTACGGTTAGGGTTAGGGTTTGGTTTGGGGTTAGTTACGTGTAATAATGCATAATTTACTGTTATTACTATAGAATCACTATGTCCTTGAAATAAAGTGTTACCAATTTTATTTGTGCAGGTCTTAAAGGGGTCTTAAATTTGTGTGTGATGTAATGACAAAAAAAGCACACTTCCTTTGACTTACTACAGAATCTGAGGTGTCACACCATCAAGCAAAACAAAAAGCATGGTGTTGGCCTTACTTCAACAAACATCTCGCACAAGCTTTTTCACATTAAAATAATGCAATTAAAAGGAGAACTACAAGATAAGACCCATCAGATATCCAGACTTTCGTAGTTTGAACTGAAAATGCTTCTATTCGTTTGAAAGCTGTAGCTGATGTGCAAAACTATACGTAACTAAAACTCATTTTTAGACGTAACTTTTGGTTTGCTCTGTAGATAACCTGGATAACATAGCCATAAATTCATACTATTTTGGGGTAAGTCAATGTCACCATTGAATGGTCTGTGATGGGAGAGAGAGAGAGAGAGAGAGAGAGAGAGAGAGAGAGAGAGAGAGAGAGAGAGAGAGAGAGAGAGAGAGAGAGAGAGAGAGAGAGAGAGAGAGAGAGAGAGAGAGAGAGAGAGAGAGAGAGAGAAATAGAGAGAGAGAGAAATAGAGAGTGAGAAAAGATTCTTATGTTTTTATGTTTATGCATGCTACACTGCAAGGCATATTTCAAGAGCTTTTCTAGTTTTTCTGACTAACTTCTATTCATTGTATACTCAACACAGGAAGGGGGAAAGCATGTGAACAATCTCTTTTGACTTTCTCTTTGTGAATGCATGTGTGTGTATGTCTGTGGCACAGCGACAAAGCAGGCAGAGTGTATATTTAGCTCCACAGCGTTTGTCACCATCACCGCACCTAAACTGTTAGCATATCCTATGAGCGCATGTCCGCATTAGCAGGCTGGCAGACATCTCACAATCAGCTAGCAAATCCTATCACAAATTTACATTTCCCCAGAGGATGGTTTTCAAAATCTGTTCGACATTTTGCAACAAAGAGATTTTGCCGAAACTGTTTGCGAGGACCCAAGTTAGCAACTTATGTAAAATGCATGACAGTTTCACGTTCCAGTAACTAATCAGGGTGGTATTACTGGCTATAAACAGATGTCTTGGATGTACAGCTATAGTGATGAAACCAAAAATGAAATATCGGAAACTCAAGGTGAGATTTCTGCAACTATGTCTTTACAAGGGAGCAGCAAAGCTGTCAATGTGGAAAGGCTCATGTAAGCGACACAAATTGCACCGCTAAAAACCCACCACCAGCCCTTCAACACATTGACACCTAAACATCCTTTATTTTGACACACCACTTAGTAACGTTGACTGATAAAGAGAATTAGGTTAGTCTTGGAGTAGAACCGCATGTCACATGTCACTGTGGTTAGCATACCACTGTTGCCCACACGATTATTAAAAGAAGGCCTGTTTGCAAACTAATCCTGGTTAGGGTGTTAGATGCAAGAATTTTATTGTTGGAAAAAGTCATTTGGTTGCGGTCTAAAATTGAGTTTACATATCCAGGGTCTAAATCTACAAGATTATGTAGCATTCTAATGCATAATATGATATGTATAAACAATGTTTAGCATTCAAAATCTAACTGACAATGATGACAATTATTAAAAATAATATTTGCATACTGAAAAGTAATGGGCAATCTTTCTGTCTATAGAGCGCCGACATATTTTTGTAGGCTAACCTCAGAAGTTAGGTTCCCTAAAAACAAAAAACAAAACAAAAACAATAGGATTTTTCCATTGGCTTTTGGATTACTGAATAAGCGACCCAATTCCAATTTTTTCTTCCCATGTGGCACAGATCGGATATGACCCGCAAATGTGTAAGTCGGTAAAAAGCACATGGTTTCCAATATTCTAAGATTGGTTTCAGGCTTCATTCATACGTGGAAATAAATCTGATATGAATTGGATATGTGCATTTGCATCTGCCATGTAAGCATACAGATCAAATATTCCCCTGCCAATGCGAGTCATAAGTCATTGAAAAAGCGACGTGGCGAATGACGTCAACTCAGGTGGACACCAACCGTGATCACATGACTCTTTTCAATGGCGCAATGTAGAACGAAGCCTCAACCTAATGTTTTGCTGACCTTCAAAGATGGTGCGGAAAAGCAAAAGCTTGTATTATCATTTCGTCTCGTCTCCCCATTGCAAATCGCATCAAGTTTTTCCGAGTCAGTATCTACTTTGGGGTGTTTCGCCAAGTAGTGTAAACGCAGATATCGGATATGGGTCACAGATGTAAGCTGGTCATCAAAAAAGAAAATTGGACACAATTTTCAGAACAAATCAGAATTGGGCATCAAGATCTGCAGTGTAAATTCGGCCTTCAAGTCTTTATTTATTAAACTTTTCCCTGAAAGTTAGAGTTATAATAGGTTATAGATTATAAACACAACGAGGCTGTGAAAGCGAACTAGTGAGGAGATGAGTTTACCTGTTCGGCTGATGACATTTAATGTCCCCGAAAACCTCTATAGACGCCTTGTACACAAGGGGGTATTAATGCTGTAAGCGCCATCTTCTGGTCAGACTCGGGAATTCATTCGCCATGACCGTCACAGTGCATTAGG